GAGAGAGAGAGAGATAAGAGATTTCTCTTTTTCACAAACGTGTAGATAACGTGTGTTGTCGTAGATCGTGCAATGAATGAATCGCAAAGATTATAATTACGTTATCCGTAAAAATTAAAAATTTCGATTTTGCAATTTGTTTCGCTTGCATATTCAAACTCGAGCGGAAAATTATTTTTTTAATATTTGTGAGATGCACATATCATGTGCAGATTTTTTTCAATTTCAATCAAAAAGAGTCTGTTTGTTCGATGGATTTCTTAGGGGAAATATGGTGGTTGTTATAGGTGCACGCGAGGAGATCCCACAATGGGAAAAGACCGTTCGCCTGCGAGCTGTGCAATAAAACGTTCGGCCATGAAATTAGCCTTACGCAACACAGAGCCGTGCATTCCGCGGAGAAGGTGTTCGAGTGCAAGCAGTGTGGCAAGGCGTTTAAACGTTCCAGCACTTTAAGCACTCATCTTTTAATCCACTCGGACACGAGACCGTACCCCTGTCAGTTCTGCGGGAAGAGATTCCACCAGAAGAGCGACATGAAGAAGCACACCTACATACACACCGGTGAGCGATCTTTTAAAAATGATTTTACGTTAATTCATTGGAACGTTGCGTCGCCGCGAATACGAAATCATAGTAAGACAGAAAAATTTCAAATTCATTTTCTCGTCGAAATTTCCTTTCTTTGGGATTTTTTTTTTTTCTTTCTTTCTCTCTTTTCAATTCGATTGGCTGTGATATCGATCGTTGTTACGAAATTTGAGAGCGAGCGCGAAAAAAAGAAATCTTGATTTTCACGCGCGAAAGGGCAAAGTAGTTATTCGTATTCGTTCGCCTCTAATATTTATAATCGTTCACGAGAAATTTCTCGTTTTGGTTGATCGCCAAATGGGGATTCCGGGGATCAATTAGCAGAGCAACTTCGTACGATAAATAATGCAGTTAACCGTCTGGACCGGGTCTTGTCGTAAGCAAGAGGATCCACTCGGATCGTGGCACATGTGGCCAGTGCATTTTAGGGGTGGCCAGCCCCTCATTGCGAGCTTCGCTCGGTAATAATCGTAATGTCTTTCGGGGTGGCCGTCGTTCTGTCTTCCTCCTTTCTTTCACGACCTAGACTGACACGCTGGATCCCCAATCTTCGAATGGAATTTTTCTATGACGAAAATTGTTCGTGAAAAATGGGGGAGTGAGTGACGCGACAGTCCAGAACCGATTCTCGAGTTCGAGAATTCTGGTTATGAAAGTTAATTGTTATTCAACGACAACGATCGAACATTTCTTTAACATTTACGCAAGATTCTTTTAAAAACGAAATATCAGAGGAACCGTTTACCTTTGTTTCTCTCCTCTCCCAAAATTTGGACGACCATCGTTCCTCTCCCTGAAAGGAGCATCACTTAGACGATGTTAGGAGCGGAGTGGACGATGGTGTTGGGACACTTGCCACTTAGGTGTCTCACTGCTGATGGAGCGATACTCCTTCGCAGGAGGGAAGTCTTCTTCCAAGGAAGCGAGGAATAGGCGAAGGAGCGTTCCACGGGGGGGTCTGGGTTTTGTATCGTTTCCATGGCAACCCTCCCAATGTCTTATCAAATTATCACCTTGTCCTCCCCCCATGCTCCTCCTTCTCCACCTTCTTGTCGCTCCAACTGTCGCCCGCCATCCCTCTCGTTCACCCTCGTTTCGACGAAACAACCGAAGAAGGACCCGGCGAAAGAGGACCCGTACAAAGCGGTTGGTCACTTCCCGTTCGTTTCTAACAACCTATGGGACCTCCATACGCCCATGCTGGTCACCTTCACGCACTACGACTGCTCGAGGGTCGCCACGGAACATTTAATTCATTATTCAAACGGATGAAAAATTCAGGGGAGGCAAGAAAGAGCCGCTTCGACAATTTTCCTCCTCCGTCGTCCACTTTCCTTTACAATTGTTTCATCATCTTATCCCCCTCGAGGGAGATCTTCCGATATAAAATTATCGCGCGCAATCATCGAGCAGCCTCATCAAAAATTCCACGGTTAAACGTTTCCAATTCAATCGAAACTACCCCTCCCTCGTTCGACCCTTAAAACTAAAATTTCTCTTCTCAGCATGATCTCCAGAGTCATCGTAACGTAACCGTAACGTTACTTGCGGATCGGATCGAGTCACTTAATACAATAATATTCCAAACTTTTTCTTAAATTTCACACAGTTCAAGAAAAATTCAAGTTCCGATTAAAATTCCATCCCCACGTTTCGATCCTTAAAACGATCCATCCCTCGCGGACACGACCTCGAGGTGGCGTGCGTACGTGCGTCAAACCAGTAAACCGAGGGTGTTCCGGGACTCTGTTGCTAATGATAATCAGTCCTCTCTTTTCCACTGGCCCCCCTTCCACTCCTCCTCCACCACGTCTATATCTCCCTTGGTCGGGCCATGTGCAATAAGGGTGCGGCACCGTCGGATTCCCAGGGGACCGGGATGGCGTAACGTAAAATCATTATTAGGTAGGTAGGTAGGTAGGTAGGTAGGTGGTTGCTGGTGCACACGAGGGGTGGCGAGAGAAACGCGGAGGCTTGGTGGAGCGCGTACAACGGGAGGGGTTGAAGGGGCGCTTACTAGGGGTCGGCAAGTGCGGGAATAAGAGCTCTGCAAATATTGTTGGTGCGCGAGCCAGCAACCGGAATAGGTGGCGAGGGGGGGAGGGCGCGTTACTTGGCTGCGTTATCTTCGATGTTGGCGCCTTTCGGGGCCGCTTTCCGGCCTAGCTGGGTCGAGTGCAACCCCGCAAAAGGGGTTGACGTGCCGGTTGACGGACGAGCCGGTGACAGAACGACAAGTGGCCGCAACGACAAGGGGCCACCGATGAGAAAACATTGAACTTATCTATTTCTGATCATCCGCCTGAGCTCGGGAAAATATTGCTCTTTGAAGTTCGCTCGCCCTCGACGAATTTCACGAGGAATTCAATTCAGGGATCGATCAATTCGATTCTCCAATTCTCGATATTTCTTTTTTTTTTTTTCCTTTCATTTCGTTATAATAATATTCATTCATTTCGAATAATATGGATTCGGGTAGAAAAGAAAGATTGCGGAAAATTTAAGAAAATTTAAAAAAGCAAGATTTTATACATATATTTTCTTTCTCTTTTTCTTTTTATATTTAAGAAGATTCAATGATTCGAGAAGATCGGTTACAAAAGATGCAAGCAAGGAAGGAAGCAAGCAAAGTTGGCTTGTGATTAGAGAAGAGAAACGTTATCGATCAGAAAACTCGCGTCTTTCTGGCATCGGTAGAATCAAGTTGCAGAGTGCATGCGCGCTTAAGCACACATGCTTGCCGCCTACGATCGAACCCGCAACAGCGGTCTTGGTGTTTTCACAATAAACACAACCTGTTCGTAGTTGGTGCCAAGTCGATGGGGATGAAGATCGGCGAGGGTTACCGTAACGTCTGTATACTTTTCGATCTCATCACGCAGAGACGGGGCCGGTATAGACGGACTCGGATGTTTATGCTTCTGGAGATGGTGCGCGCCTCGATTCGCAAAGAGAATGGCTCTCGTTTTTAGTGGTTCAATCACGCTCCTCGTAAATCGAAATCATCGATTTCCCTTTGCGTGATTCCCTTCGACATTCGTTCCTCCATTTTTATCTCGATCGAACTGAGAACCAACATTTGATCGATACACATCGATAACGGAAACAATGGATGGAGACAAAACGACGAGGACGAGACGACGAGGATTCTTCGACAGAAGACGTGTCGTTAAAACTCGTTTCGTAATTCCTCGCAATTGCCAAATTATCGGGAAGAAAATTTAAAAAAGGGACGATTTGATTATAGATATTTTCTCGATCGCGTACGATCGATACAAATATATATCAAGTTCTGCACTTCTGTACCAGGAGAGTTTCCCGGTTTGCGGTCGGAGGGACGGGCCGGTAACTAAACGAGACAACTCTATAAACATGAAAGAGATACGGGCGCGTTATTATGAATTTAGCGGTGGCTCTAATGTAGGGATACCTGGCCGAGCGTCTCCCTCAAACTCACCTCGAGGGTGCGGTTATCGTACACCCGAGGAGATACACAGGCAACCTATACACAGCCACCTTTGCGGCCGCGTGTGCCTGCGGACTCTATCTCGGTCTTGTCCCCGCGCCTCATCCCCTCTCCATCCCTGTATGTAGACGAGACAGGGCTATTAGAGGTTTCCGGCTGACTTGGCGCCCCAAGCATCGAGGGCGCCGCAACATCCCTCTAAGCTGTTTAAACTTCGCGACATGCTCCGAGGAGGACCCGCTGCCCCACGCCTCCACGCCTTTCGCTCCATCTTTCCACCCGTTTTCGTCTTTACGGCTCGTTAACGATCCTGCCGACGTATCCCACCCCATCCCGTTCGCGAAATAATAGTTCACGTACGAGTCGAGGCGCGTTTGTGGTTGACGCCGCATTTCCCTCCCCCCCGTTTTTTTTTCTTGTTTTTTCTCTCAAGAAAATTGACGGCGTGTTCCCGTTCGAACGAGGAGAAGAGAAGAGAAGAGACGATCTGGATGGTGATTTCGAGAGAGGGAGATAATTTTTTATTTTTTATTTTTTTTTTTTTTGTTCTAAATATTCAGGTATATATAAAAGGCAGCATGATCAAGACACCGGAATGGTTCAACTTCGGAATGCCGCATCCCCTGATGGGTATGAGAATAGAAATAACCTTAAGGTTCGTTAGACTGGGGGAGGGAGGGGGAGGCGTTATACATAATGTCACGTCGGTGAGGCGGCATAAGCAACCGATATCGCATTAAACATGCAAATTCGCCGGTATAACGTTGCGGGGATCCAAGGCATCATCCATACAGCGGTGGCAAGTGGCGCATAGTGTTCATAGTGAAGCGGCATGATTAAATTTCCAGGGATATCGACATGCCAGAACCACGTCAACCCCTTCCACTCCCTCCGCCCCGCCACCACTATCTCGCCACTCATCCCTCCGCATCTCCTCCTTTTTCGCTTCTCCGCCTATCCGCGTAACCCCCCTCCCCCTCACGGGCTCGAATCCACCAATTCTAGCTTCTGGCCTCAAAATTAACTGCGCCCGGAATGCTAGCAGTTGCACGCGTATCTATCTTCCTCGAGACGTTTTCGTCCTTCCCTTAAATATTTTCCTCCTCGCTTCTTTGCCTCGAAAAATCGGACGAAGAAGAAACAACGAAACGGTTTTCAAATTTCGGTTTGAAGACAGAGTTGTGTACAGATGAATCTTCGATTTCTTCTTTCCTTCTTTATTCTTTCAAAACGCGGAATCTCTTATCTCTGCTTTGTCCATGAATCGGACGACATCCTTCTTCTCTCCGAGCAATTCAAACATACACACGTAATTCGCGACGATAAGGGATCTATTATTAGCTGGTTTCCGAGCCAGAGCGATCTCAATAGGCGGATAAAAGAAAGTCTCTCGTGAGTCACAATTGTCAATTAAGGTGCGCGCATACGGAAACGAGGCCGGTGGAGGGTCTTCGCGCCGCAGATCGGATTTGTCACGATTCCTAATGTTGATCGACGCTGTAATAAT